GTCTGGGGGTGTTGGCGTTGGCGCTGAGCGTGCACCTGCCGCAGCTGCTCGTTCTGAGGGTGCTGGAGCTGTTGGTGTTTCTGGAGCTGGAGAGTCTGGGGCTGGTGCTGGTGTCACTAGAGGCACCACGACTGGGGGTGCGGGTGCGCCTCCTACTGGTGCTGGTCGTGCTGCCGCGGGAGGTACTCGCTCTGGGGGTGCTCAGCCGGGTTTTGTTGCAGACGAAGCCGGTTCTTCTGCTGCGTCTCCTGACACCACTCCTCCTCCTCACTCCTACCCGACTCGTTACTAGACCCTTCTTCGTCTTGAGCGTAAGGAGCAGCAGCGTTTGGAGCATGAGAGGTCGGAGGTTCAGCAGCGGGTGGAGCGTGAGAGGTTGGAGTTGCAGCGGGAGCAGCAGCAGCAGCAGCAGCAGCAGCAGCAGCAGCAACAGCGGCCGCAGCAGACGGAGCAGCCTCCGGCCCCTGTTTCTGGCCTTCGGGCCCTTGGCCTCCCATCCTCTCCTCCCGTGTTTGGTCCTCTGTTTCCTCCTTCGGACTCAGCTCCGGCTGTGTTCCCTTGTTCTTAGTCTCCTCCGTCTCCCCCTCCACTCGCCCACACTTGGACCTCTCGTCCTCCTCGTGCTCGTCCCTCGTCCCCTGTCACTGACCTCCGTACCGCTTTGTTTCGTTCTAGTCCTCCTCGTCTTCCTCAGTCTGTTCTTCCTCCTCCTCCTGAGTCGTCCCTCAGTGCCTCCATATCCACTCTGGTCTCTGACTACTACTGCACGTACCACCCCACTCTCTCTCGTGTTCTCGCCTCTCTTGTTACAGACCCTCGTGCCTCTCCTTCCTCCATCGTGGTCCTCACTGCCGCTGTCACTGACTTTACTGCTACGCGTTGCCTTGACTACGCCACTCGTGTTGTGGCCGCTCCTCCTGTCCGTCCTCTGTCCGCCGGGGGTGAGTCTGCCCTTGGCTGTGACGTCCTAGAGGACAGACAGTTTGAGTTAGAGTTCCTGGCTGCTGCTTTGCCTCATCTCTGTGCCATGCTCCTCGCTCCTGAGGGAGACCCCGACGCTCCTGACATACCTACTCCTTGCACTTACGCTGAGGCAGTGTCAGGGCCTTGGGCCTCTCAGTGGAGAGCTGCCATGGACGCAGAGATGGCCTCCTACAGGTCCACAGGCACTTACGTTGACGAGGTTCCCCCCCCAGAGGCGAACATCGTTGACGGCATGTGGATCTTCAAGGTGAAGCGGCCGCCGGGATCTCCCCCTGTCTTCAAGGCACGCTACGTGGCTAGAGGGTTCAGTCAGCGTGAGGGAGTTGGCTTCTTTCAGACCTTCGCGCCCACCTCGAAGACGGCCACTCTTCGGGTGTTACTGCACGTAGTAGCGCAGAGAGATTACGAGCTACGCTCTCTTGACTTCTCCACTGCCTTCCTCCAGGGCCGCCTACACGAGGAGATCTGGTTACGTCGTCATCCGGGCTTCACTGGCACTTTCCCGCCAGAGACCCAGTGGAGCCTCAGACGACCGGTCTACGGTCTCCGCCAGGCACCCCGTGAGTGGCACGACACTCTCCGCTCGACTCTCTCCGACCACGGGTTTGAGCCGTCTTCCGCCGACCCGTCGCTGTTTGTTCATCGTGGGCGCACACCTTTCTTCGTTCTCGTCTACGTTGACGACCTGGTTTTTGCCACAACCGACACAGCTGGACTGGGGGAGGTGAAGTCCGAACTGCAGAAGAGACACACCTGCACTGACCTTGGGGAACTGCGCCGCTACCTTGGCCTGCAGATCTCCAGGGACAGAGCCGCTCGCACCGTCACTCTTACTCAGTCACACATGGTGCAGCAAGTCCTTCAGCGGTTCAAGCTTCAGCACTCTTCTCCTACACCCACCCCTCTTGCTGTAGACCACAGACTCACTGGGCCTTTTCCTGACGAGCCGTTTGAGCCCAGTGGTCCCTACGCAGAGCTGGTGGGCTGCCTCATGTACCTGATGACGTGTACTCGCCCGGACCTTGCCTTCCCTCTTAGCATCCTTTCTTGCTTTGTTGCGACTGGGAGACTCCAACCTGTTCACTGGGCGGCGGCTAAGAGGGTGGCGAAGTACCTCGGCGCGACATGAGACATGGGGCTTGTACTTGGAGGGACACAGCCAGTTGTACTCACCGGTCACTGCGACTCCTCCTATGCCGACTACGTTGAGACTCAGAGGTCTACAAAGGGTTATTGTTTCAGCCTGGGCTCTGGAGCTGTTTCGTGGAGGTCTACTCGGTCCTCCTCTGTTGCGACTTCTACCGCAGAGGCCGAGACCTACGCTGGAGCCCTTGATGCACAGGAGCTACGCTGGTTGACCTTCTTGCTCACTGACCTTGGTGGGCGGCCGAGCTCTGCACCGACCTTGTTTGCTGACAACAAGGCGATGATTCTCCTGTGTCGTGAGCCTCGACTGGAGAGCAGAGTGAAGCACATCGACGTCAGGTAATTCCTCCTTCGAGAGTTGCAGCGACGCGGACAGGCTCGTCTGGACTTCGTGGCCTCCGAGGCCAACACTGCAGACATCTTCACCAAGGCTCTTCAGCCTTGTGACCACCGCCGGTTTTGTCTGCAGTTAGGTCTCGTTGAGACTGGGTCTAGTAGATCGCAGTAGTGATTTTTTGCCTCTTGTGTGTGTGTACCAGATATATATTAGCTTATACACTCTTGAACTGGCCTTGTGGCCCCTTGTTTGTGCTCAGACTGTGTGGTGACGTTGTGATCCACCCTGAGCTTTGTTTCCTCTCTTGCTTGCGACTGGTCTTGTGACCTTAGGTTGCGTTTCTTGTTGCTTGGCATTCCCCACTTAAGCTATGGGGGTGTGTCAAATGTTATATCCTTTAGTGGGTCATGCTATATGGGGTACAAACAGTTAGGGTTACCGTACGTACTTGTACCCCAACACAATCAATGCAACCCATTCCGCTGTAGCCACTTTCTGAGACCTTCGCCAACTTCCCTCTAACTCGCTCCCATCTAGGTCCAACCTACATCTCAGCCACCACCGTTTCAATCTCGTGATTCCATACCTACAAAAGCTTCTCGAGCCAGCATCTTCCACATCGAATTGCTGACCAGAGCCGCTTTTGAGAATTCTCAAAAGAAACATGATCCTCCATATCAAGTTACTGAAAAAAATAAAAATAACCTATTTGCTCTTTGCAATTGTGCCGTTTCAGGCCGGGAAGGGCGTCGTCGACGCGTACAACAAAGGCATGAAGCCCGCCCTGCAGCTCGTTCCGTACGATCCGGTGGGATCTGGCGCCGGAATCACCGGCTTCAACGGCGGCACCTACCAGATCGCCATCTCCGACGACCCCATGTCCTCCACGCAGGAGGCCAGCGCTCCCCCCAAGATCACCGTGCCGCTCTGCGTCTCCACCTTCAGCTTCTTCGTCAACGGCAAGGCCGGCGTCATGCTGACGGCGGCGCAGACGTACGCGATCTACAGCGGCGCCACGACCGCGTGGTCGGGCGTTCCCGGCGCGGCCGGCAAGGTTGCGGGCGCCATCACCCCCGTGGCGCGCAACGACAAGTCTGGCAGTACCGCGATCGTGAAGACCCTGTGGTCGAAGACGGTGCAGGGTTACTTTGGCACGTGCGACGGACGGCGTGTCGATGACGTTTGCGGGGCTCACCAAGGTGGAGGGCACGCATTCCATGTGCGACTGCTTTTGAGGCGACTCAAAAGCAGGCTCACCAAGGTGGAGGGCACGCATTCCATGTGCGATTGCTTTTGAGTCGACTCAAAAGCAGGCTCACCAAGGTGGAGGGCACGCATTCCATGTGCGACGCCGTGCTCAAGACCAAGGGCGCCATTGGCTACGCGTTCACCGGCGGCTGCAGCGTTGTTCCGAACAAGCGCGTGGTCGCTGCTCTCAAGAACGCCAATGGCCTGGCAGTCGCGCCTCCGTCAAGGAACCCTGCGCTTGCCATCCCCACCACCCCTCCCGCCGTGCCTGACGCGTCGTTGGCGAGTGTGGACTTTATCTGGAAAGCCGGAGCCAAGACGCCTCCCATGGTGTCCATGGAGTTTGCTTTCATCAAGAAGTCGCTCTCTGGCGCAACCGGGAGAATTTCCAGGGCGTTCATGCAGTTCATGGTCGGCAAGGTGTCCAAGGGTGCGTATGGGTTCAAGGCGGTGCCTCCTGCTTGGCTGAACCCGTCCGTGACCATGGTTAACAAGATTGTTGGCGCGTAGAGGTGCTAGTGCTTGTGCAGCAACACTAGGAGATCACCCCTGGTCGTGGCTAGTTAGACGTAAAAATGCATGGCATATCAGTAGAATTGTTCGGCATCGCATGCGACGTTGCTTACCATGTGTTGTTTATGTTGTGCGCAATGATTTATGCTGTTTCGACGTGAAAGTACGCACCATATGTGGAAGTATGATGTCAGATCTATTTCTGTCAGAGCTGGGCTGGGAAAGGAAACAGCCATGTGTGGTGCTGTGATGTAACAAGATCACCTAAAAATGGGAGTGGGTGTTGTAACGTGGCATGACACGCCTGCCATTGCACCTTGGGTACGTAGCTAGTTTCCAGAACCCCTAGCCTTTCTACTACCACAGCCAGGAGTGAGTTGCATGACATGCCTGCCAATACTGAATTTAGAAACATGTGCTGTGCATTATTCTAGCGTCCAGTGCAGTTTGGCATTCACTTTATTAGCTCAGCTTGAACAGGATTGAGCATGGAATTCAAGGATGCATTGCTGCAGTTGTAGGTGCGGCACAAAAACGCTGGCTTCTGGGAACCTGCCAGGATGCATGCAGTCCTGTGTGCAGCTGGGTTAGCTGAGTGCAGCTAAGTGCAGCTGGGTGAAGCTGAGTGCAGCTGAGTGCAGCTGAGTGCAGCTGGGTGAAGCTGAGTGAAGCTGAGTGAAGCTGGGCGTAGCTTGGTGCAGTGGGCTATGGCTGGGTGCAGCTGGGGGTGATTAAGTTTTGCTGGGTGCAGATGGGTCCAATCAAGGAACAGTCAAGGCGTGGGGAGGTGGAGAGTGGGGTTGGCGAGGGCGAGCAAGGAGGAAGCGAGTGTCACCACTTGCACTGAGGGGTTCAATGTGGGATGCCTCATGGCTGCAGCTGCTGCCCACACCTGCTGCTCGTGCCTGCTGGGGCGGGAAGGGATTAGACATTCACACAGGGATAAGACACACTGAGTGCAGCACACACACCGAGTGTCACCACTTGCACTGCGGGGTTCATAGTGGGATGCCTTAGGCCGTTGCTGCTGCCCACACCTGCTGCTCGTGCCTGGTGGGGTGCGGTGGCATTAGAAATTCAAACTCATGAGAAGATACTGAGACTGAATCAATACAAAGGACCTTTCGAGACTGAGGTAGGATCGAATCGTTTATAGGTGTTGCATGACTGTTGTTTCTGTTGCTGCCTCTGCTGCTGCTGCTGCTGCTGCTGCTGCTGAGGATGATACACCTTGTTTTCGTGACTGCTGCGTGAACAGCAACAGACACAGGCGCATGGGAGCTATGGGACAGACAGGGGACGGCACATGCACCCCGACAGCACAGCCAGCTGGACGGCACAGCCAGCTGGACGGCACAGCCAGCTGGCACAGGATGAACGCACGGAGTGCAGTAGCAAGCATGCTACATCCCCTCCCCGACCCATCCTCCAAGCTCACCGCTTGTGGCAGCGCAGCACAGCGACGGAGTGGGGTTCTCAGAGGTCGCAGGAGAGCAGGGAGTCCCATAGCAATCACTCCAACACCTCCTACTCAGGTCTCCCCTCCCTCTCAACCCTCCCCTCCAGGCTCACCTCTTATCACATTGCAGCACAGCCACGAAGTGGGGTCGCAAGGGAGCAGGGAGTCCCGTAGCAATCGCTCTAACACGTCCCTTTCAGGCCTCCCCTTTAGGCTCACCTCTTATCACAGCGCAGCACAGCCACGGAGTGGGGCCCACAGGGGTCGCAGGAGAGAACCAGCAGAGACGCCTGGATGCTGCCTGCCCCCACCGACCCAAACAGAGCCACCAGTGAGTCCCCCAGCAGCCGCTCCAACACCTCCCTCTGGACACCCCCCTGCTCGCCCCTCTGCACGCCTTTCTGCTGCCCTTTTTGCTCGCCTTTCCTCTGCTGCGGCTGCTGCTGCTGCGGCTGCTGCTGCGGCTGCTGCTGCTGGCGGGTCACATTCACAGATCTGAGGTAGAAGGAGAACGAATAACGAAACCCGTGGAAATGATTTTTGAGACGCCTCAGAAAGCAACTCACATTCATAGATCTGATGGAGAATGAATTAGGAAACACGAGGAAAGGAATTTTGAGATGCCTGAGAAAGTTTCACATTCACATTCACAGAGCCGCTGAGGCAGAAACGGAGAGGAGAACACGAAGAGTTTTGAGTCATTCCCCTCACCCATCCTCTCTACCCTCTCTCCCTCTCTCCCTTACTCCCTCCCCCTCTCCCTCTCCCTCTGTCTCCCCGTCACTCCCTCTCCTTCTCTCCCTCACCCTTCACTCTTTTCCCTATTCCTTTCACTCCCTCTCGCCCGCTCTCCTTCACTCCGCTCACATGGTAATGCGCAGGTAGCTATGCCGTCTCGCTCACATGGTAATGCGCAGGTAGCTGTGCCGTCTCGCTCACATGGTAATGCGCAGGTAGCTGTGCCGTCTCGCTCACATGGTAATGCGCAGGTAGCTGTGCCGTCTCGCTCACATGGTAATGCGCAGGTAGCTGTGCCGTCTCGCTCACATGGTAATGCGCAGGTAGCTGTGCCGTCTCGCTCACATGGTAATGCGCAGGTAGCTGTGCCGTCTCGCTCACATGGTAATGCGCAGGTAGCTGTGCCGTCTCGCTCACATGGTAATGCGCAGGTAGCTGTGCCGTCTCGCTCACATGGTAATGCGCAGGTAGCTGTGCCGTCTCGCTCACATGGTAATGCGCAGGTAGCTATGCCGTCTCGCTCACATGGTAATGCGCAGGTAGCTATGCCGTCTCGCTCACATGGTAATGCGCAGGTAGCTGTGCGGCGATGGCAGGCTGAACGTCCTCTGCTGCACCGTCCTCGTCTCCATATCCCCTGAAACACCGTCCCCTGACGCACCGTCCCCTGACGCACCGACCCCTGAAGCACCGTCCCCTGAAGCACCGTCCCCTGAAGCACCGTCCCCTGACGCACCGACCCCTGACGCACCGTCCCCTGATGCACCGTCCCCTGATGCACCGTCCCTCGATGCACCGTCCCGTAATGTACGCTGATGCACCGTCCCTTGGTTTACCGCCTTTTGATTCACCGCTCCTTGATTCACCGTCCCTTGATGCACCTACTCTTGACTTCGAACTTGCTCCACCTCGCACCCTCTCTCGCTCCTCCCTTCTTCCTCCCGTCCTCCGTTACCTCTTTCGCTGACCTTGTAGCCCTTCCTTTCACTCCCCTCCTTCCTTTTCTTCCTAACCTAAAACTAACCTAACTAACCTAACCCAACCTCACATAAGGAGAAGGCTTCCAACCTCCTTAACTCCTCCTCGCCAGCTCTCCTCTCTCAGCCTACATAATCTCGTCGAAACAAAAGCGCGCGCTTGCGACTTGCCGTTTCGCACCTACATCAAACTGGCTTGAACTTTTGGGATCGTGTTCGTCGCAGAACGGATGGATCCCACCGACGAGGGAGAAAGGTTCGTCGCACTCAGTCAGGTTTGAAGGCCTGGCACCGGGTCCGGTGCCGCATGCCGCGTCGTTGACGCGGATGTGTCACGATGTCGCTAAACCATCTAGTCGTTCCGTCGTGGAAAGTAGACGACAGGGTGAAGTAGACTGCTTGTTGTCGAGGGTTGTTAGTCTTTGATAAGATTCCGCTGGCTTGAATATCTGTTCGCTTAGGTAATATGTACAGTTTTCGACTTCAGATTATTGGTTTAGCGAGTGCTCGATGCTGGCGAAGTGTTTCGGGTTACAGAAAGCAATTTAACCTGTGTGGATGGATTCTGCGTACCTCTCGCCAGTCCATTCGCACACGCAGACTTATGTCAGCGAATATTTGTCAACAAACCGAACTGGCAGTTAATTCGTCCCATTTCGCGACGGCGTTTTGATCACCTTTCATGATTTCGCGACAATCTGTCTCTCATCCCCGTCCCCCAGAAGGCACGCTCACGACACTCGTCCATTACCAGTCACCATTCTTGAGTTCGCTGACAATCAGTCTCTCATCCCCGTCTCCCAGAGCAGACGACTGGAACGCCCGTCGCAGGGTCTGACCTGGCTCATCATGCGACTTCTCAGAACGCGTATTGGTAAATCTGTGGAATATGATTGGTCAAGAAAGTACTTGCGAAAAAATTGGGACCAATACTTTACAGCTGGTCAAATCGAGAATGCACGCGCCGCTCACGGCACAGGCCAGCCAGGAAGTGGACTAGACTGAGAGTACACTACAATTATTTGCGGAGGGGGTAAGTACATTCTTGCACTGCACGACGTTCTGTTCTGATCAAGAGCCGTAATTATTGCTGTCTTGTGAGCGACGTTCTGCTCCCTCCCGCCATTCCACCTCGTCACAATCTTCACGGCTCCTTGGCATTGATGGTGTGACGCGATCTTTTCGACGATAAAATTCCAGCATGTGAAGCTATTTCTCCAGAGTTGTCTCTCCATTCTAACAATTTCGTGAAGAAAAGCTTCAGCGAACTTCATTCGAGCTTGATCGTGAGTTTTTTACATGTGATCCCACTTTACCATCCACCAGAAGCTATCCTTGCTGCCTAGCTGCTGGTTCTGCTGCTGCTGCTGCTGCTGCTGCACTCGGCCTTACTCCTCGCTGACCTCATTTTTAATCAATAATCAGTAAGGGTTTCGAGCTCGATTAGTTAGAGCCATGGAGGTAGTTCGATTCTCCAAGTCCCTTCACACGGCGATTGGCGAGATGCTGGCTCACAATGATCAATTCGAAGACCGTATTTTGCCTACTTCCGTTCATAGTGTACAGGGTGCTTTTGCTAGTACAGCAGCGGCTTACCCGTCATCGTCGCAATGTGTATCGCATCCGGTTAACAATCTTCAGTCGCTTGCCAAGCAGCCTGGCTCATCGTTAAACGGAACCGGGTTTCCAGCAGCGTTCCTGCTCTTTGAAAATGATGCACAACACGCCGCAAAACACGGCTGCTCCACGGCGATCGACGTCGCGTGCTCACCAAACCGCTGCATCGACACTTATCCACACCCAAACGCTCTCAAGTCGTCACCGAAATCCAGTCTCCCCTCGTTTCCCTCCTCCACCCCCGCCTCGGATCATCGCGTATCGGCTCTCGTGATATGCTGGAGGACGCTGCTGCAGCTGGCGATGCTCGGACGGACCCTCGGGCAGGTGCTGGAGCGAACCGTTCTCGTGAGCACCTTGTATCAGCGGCTCGCGCGGGGCCGTCTAGCGCGGCAGAAGCCGATGGGCAGGGGCTTGCCGTTTTGATGGCAGGTGCGACAAGGGACAGTCGCGTTGTCTATGCTCATCTTTAGGTGACACCTAATAAACGTGTTTGTCCAGCGACAAACGCGATCAATAAACATGTCAATGCTCATAGTGAATAAACGTGCTGTTTAGAGATGAACAGTATATTTGTTCAGTAGAATATTGTCCAATGCAATGCAAACCACAAGTGGGTCCACTTTGACATCATTACACGGGTTGAGCCAAACACAACCAGATTTGCCCTTTCACACGTACCTTACATTCCAAGCACATATGGACCCAATGTAACATGCTGCTGATCATACAAAATCCCAGAGCTTGAATAGCTGATTTAACCACTCTTCTGTGGCAGTGCAATGAGTAAATTAACCCAAGACTGCAAAACCGTAACACCTTGGCTTTAAGCATCCCCAGGGTCGCCTTCAGCCTTGCGTTTTCTACTCAAAGCCCCCACCTCCACTCCTCCCTCCTTTTGAGACGTCTCATGAGTCTCATTCACTCCTTCCCCCTCTCCTTCCTTCTCCGCCTCTTCCTTCCCCTCCCCATCCCTTCGCTCCCCATCTGCCCCCTGCCCATTTTCTGCCTTCCCGGTCAACTCCTGCACCTTTTCCCCCTGCCCGTTTTCCCCCTGCCCGCTTTCCTCCTGCCCGTTCACTGCTCTCTCCGCCACTTTTTTCTTCCAGAAGGCAGCCAGCCTGGCACATGCCACGGACAGCTGTTCGGGCGGCATGGCGGCGTAGCACACGCGGAAGAACCCCGGCTCGCCATAGTGACACGCCTCTCCTGGTCATACCCAGGCATGCGGAAGGGGGCATAGTATGGGGTGCAAGAATGAGAGACACGGGACATAACGGCATAGCACACGCAAAATAACCCCGGCTCGCCGTAGTGGCACACCTCTCCTGGTTGTGGCAAGGCACAGGGCAATGGGAGGAGGATGTGGCGAGAGGCAGAGAGGCAGAGGACATTGAGCATGTCTGCTTGGCGGCGTAACACACGCGCGGAAGAACCCCTGGTCGCCGTAGTGGCACGCCTCCCCTGGTCGTGGCAACAAACAGGATAATGGGAGCACGATGCGGGGAGAGGAATGGTGCATTGAATTTGGCGGCATGGCAGAATGGCGGCGTAGCACATGCAGAAGAACCCCGGCTCGCCTTAGTGACATGCCTGCCCTGCTTGTGGCAAGGCAGGGGGGAATCGGGAGATAGGGGCACGATGTGAGGCAACAGAGCAGTTCATGGGAGACATTGAGCATGGAGGCAAGGCAGAGAGCATGGTAAGGAGCCTCAGGGGCTGCAGTAGCAATACTACCGAAGAGAAAGGGTGCTGCACCTGGCGTGATCACGATCTTGCACGAGTCAAGGATCTCGCACCACAGCAGCCGCTCCACTTCAAACGTCGGCTCAGAGAGGTTGGGGGGGGTGTTGAAGTATTGTGCTTACTGATGCCTATTCTACCTGGCGGTGTCAGCATTGCACCTGGGGTAATCACCAGCTCACCTGGCGTGATCACGATCTTGCACGAGTCGAGAATCTCGCGCCACAGCAGCCGCTCCGCCTCGAAGGTGGGCTCAGGGAGGATGGCGGGGATGTTGAAGTATTGGGATGATTGACGCTTGCTTAATCTGGCGCAATCACCCTCACACCTTGCATACTCACTACCGCACCTGGTGTGATGACAATCTTGCACGAGTCGAGAATCTCGCGCCACAGCAGCCGCTCCGCCTCAAAGGTGGGGTGAGCGAGGATGGCGCGCAGGTCCAGCCAGCAGAACATGGCGGCACATGCCGGCTGGTACTGCATGCCCGCTGCCTC